CACATGAAATCTTGTGTGTGAACCACAGGCAGGTAATAATAAAGCATATACTTTCAGAGATATTATATTTTAAAGCTCTTTAAGCAATGATGAGTTTCACACCTTCCATGCTAGTCTGTTACAGTGTTTAATTACCCAGAACAATTTAGAACAAAAATCAGTACACTTGGCCTCATTAATGTAAGGCAAAGCAGAGATTTTTTAAAGCAACCCCCAGACAGGATTTGTAAACATCAACTTCATTTTTATTTGGTACAAAGCACATTAACAGCAGCAGCACAGAGAGAGCTAAAATTTTACAAGTAGAGAATTAATCACAGCGGGTGATGACAGGCTGGTAAAGTGTCTCATTAGGAAAAGAATAACAAGGAGTTTAATAGAGAGCCAGTGTTTTGTAAGGATAATGGCCTGGCTTTTCAGAAGGTATTGGTGATTTGGGAATGCCTTAGTTCTGATATCAATTCAAAACACCTCCTTTCCAGTAGGAGCTTCAAACCTTTCCAACTGCTTTAAAGCACTTTGAGGATGAGCACCCCAAAGCCAATAGACACTTTTATACATCCCAGGCAAAATTCCTTGCTAAACCACCTAGAGCCACAATTTTCAGGTGACAACAGCATGGTTTATGAGGCAGATTTGCTGCTCATGTGAAATATCACAGCCCCAGATCCTGCAGGCAGAGTTTAGTGCAGTGGAGATCCTGCCCCAGCCACGAACTCCCTGCAGTAGGAAAAGGAAAAATCAGTGTAAGGAAAAGTTCTGTGTCTGGGGAAAGCTGCAAACACCCCCCTGCCTCAGTCAGGCAACCACAGCACTCACCAGCAGACAGGAGCTTGGAAATGCTTTATTCCTTGTTGCAAGAGACATAACTAACTCAAGATCTCATCTGGAAAAGGGCATCATAAACCCAGCTGGCAGGAGCAGGAGACAGAACCATAAAAGACAAGAACAAGCCATAACTTGAATCGACAGGTTGGAAAATGGAAGACACCAGAAGAAATTCTGATGTTATTTTAGCTGTTTGGAGGATGAGGCAGGAGTTTTACAGTAAGTGTGCTGGATAGTTTACTCCTGTGAAGTATAACTAATCTCTTCAAACAGATTATCTGTAAAAGTATGGGGTTTTTTTCTCTTTTTAAGCTTTTGCAGTGAATTTCAATGCATTATTCTGTTTGGGGGTTGCTCTTATGAGTGCCTTTTCCTCAACTACTGAGCGTATAATTTATGTAACCTTGTAATACCATATATTGCAGGTAGGCATTTTATGGCATAATTTATTTACATTTTACTGTTGCTGTGTGCAATAATGAGGTTTCTGCTGTTCCAATTTCATTTATTAGAGCAGGCAGGACAATGGGCAGAAAATAATCATAACCAAGGGCTGAAAGCACAAGTAAGAATTTCAGCAATGCCTCATTTTTAGAGGTGTAAGTAGGTGTAAGATGTACCTACGTGTGGATAGACTTTGTAAATGACGTAGGAAGAAGAATGCACTGAAAAACAATAATTCATGATGTAAAAAAACTAAAAAAACTTAGAAAAGAAGTGAAGGCTTGTCTGTTGGTGCAGGAAAACATTTTTTTTCCTTCTGATGCTTCTTCCCCTCATCATTGACATCACAGGGAGAATTTTAATGCCCACCCCCAATCTATTGAAGTCACATTGACAAGATTTTTAGTGTTAGCTGTATAACCAAATTATTTCTAGATATTCAGTGCACAATAAATCTACTTAAGGTGCTTTGTTCTGATGAACTCATTTAAATGTATTATATTAAAAAATTACATTTTCAGAAGCTTCTCTAGACATTTCTTAATCGGTTGTCATGGTGATGTCACTGATTACAGTTTTTAATGTCCCATTTGAAGATTATGCACTACTTAATGATCCAAAAAGTAGGTCTAATTTCTTTAGAGAAAGAAAAAAAAACAACAACCCTTTTCATGGAATGAATTACACAGGTTACTCATAGTACCAAGTAATGAAAAAATGCAAATGTGCAAGGTAAAGAAAGATTTGGTTAAGATTATAGGCCAAGAAGATGATCTACAACAAGAGCTTTTTGATAAATATAGCAAAGGAATAAAAAAAATTTGCAATAACTAAAAATGTGGATATGGAGGAGAGTAAAGAACACCTAAAATATCCTTGTGCAGTCTTCAACTCTCTTTGCAATTACAAAACAGTAATGATCTGGAGAGCATGAGAAATGATTTTGCATTTTAAAGGAGATTGTTGGGACATTCTCTGTTCCTGGTCACACTGTCCCTCTGATTTTTAGGTGGCTTTGCAGTCTGCAGCAGAGTCTCTCTGGAAATTCAGTTTCACATTTGGAGGGGGAAAAAGCCCCAAAAACTCATTACCTTTCTTTTTCAGGCAACTTTTCTCATCCTTAAAGAGTTAAATGTCATCGTGGTTGCTCTAGAAATTTAAACATGGCTTTCATAAAGTTATTTAAATTTCCAGTTGTCTTGCTGCAGAGTTTTTTTTTAACCTCTACTTTTATAGGTGTCCTAACCTGTAACATCCCTCCCATCCATGTTCCTCCAGTCTGAAATGTGACAAATAAAATACTTTGTCATCTCAGAAAAATTGATCTGGATTCCAATCAGTTCAACTTAAACCTGCTGATCTTTTCCCAACCCAAGGAACCTGCCTGAGCTTAGTCCAGAATAAATCCCCTCAATTTGTGTGTCAGGGGCACTGAGTCCTCAGCAAGAGCTGGTTCTGGCAGCCCATCCTCTACTTTACAGCTCTAAAAATGTAATCCTTGTAGCACACTGAAGTCAAGGAATTAGAAGAGTGAACTGTTTGTTCACTCCTTTAGTAAAGGAATTGTAAAAACCATGGAGGGAATAGGGGAGAGAGACAGTAGGGGACAACGAGGGAAAATTTAAATTACAGGGAAAAAAATACACCACCATTCACATTATGGGATCATTCACCTTTGTCTAAGGCCTGGCTTTGCAGAAATATTTACAGACTTAAATCTCATTCCTGCTGAAGAGAATTAGGTATCTAATGCCTTGATTATTGGTGAATAAAATACTGCTTTGCCTTCTTAAATAAACAAATTTTGGTGATGTCCATTGAGAAAAGTCTTTTGACCAAGATTTCGTGTTCCTGTTTTTAATTTTTTGGCAGATTCCAGATTTCTGTACCTATTAAAACTTCTAAATGGGACAAGGGTCAGAACACAAGGAATAATAAAGATTTGCCTTGTGGCAGATTCTGAAGGCAACAAAAGAAAACTGTATTTTGAGCATAAGGAAAGTTGAAGATTTCCATAGACATGAAGAAAGTTCTGTAGGTCAAGGACTTCATTCACAGTGCAATGAAAACAGCTTTAGTTTTGTTGGGAAAATAACCATCTTCTGGTTTCTTTTTTCCTAGACAATAGCAGCCACAGAAAATATGGAAAGAGTCAAAAAAAAAAAAAATCTTTCAAAAGAAATGTGCTTTGTTCATTGACAGAGGGGAAGATTTTGAGGGAAAAAATATCCTGTGAAAAAGGTTGGTATTTTTTAAAACAAAAAACAGCAAAACCAGCAAAAACAAACCCCAAAGAACTTTCAAACCAATATTTTCTGGGGGGGATTTTTTCCCTGATATTTGAACTAGGTCTGTCTGATCCCTGCTGTAACAGGTCTAGAGAATGATTCCTCTGCCTTGCTTACAAAACCTTGTCAAATACCACAACACTGATTCAGGGTTTAGTTGTTTTACTGACATTTGCTGCTAAGGCTTCATTTTACTTTGCTCAGGTCTAGTTTTACCTCATCAGAACTCCATTCCTTTAATGTCTGGCATCAAGTATAACATGTATTAATGAAAACAACCAAATCTCCACAGAGAGAAGTGTTCTGATAACCTCTGGAAGGTTTATTCACCCACAATAGGTGCAAGCACTTTGTAACAGTAAAGGATGATACCACAAATGTCTTTAAAGATCCATTAGAATGGAGTCAGCAGAGGAAAACTTATAAAGGTTGCATGATCTGAAGGTGATAATGCACATGCTAAAGCAGCCAGAAGGTTCTGGTGCTTCACTGCAGCCAAAAATACCATGTTCTTGCTTGGCACATAATGAAGTGCAACTGTACTAAAAGCAATACCAAAACCTCCTGAGCTTTTACTGGCTTTGCTGCAGAGAGAAATAATGTTTCCTCTTTCTTTTCAGTAAATAATGTTAATTTAAAAGGTCATTGTGTTTTAGTTTTCCTGTGGTGGTTATAACTACAATTAAACCAATATCGGTCAAAATAAATTATTCACTAAAGTCTAAAAGGAAATAGTGAGAAGTAGTACAGAAAACAAATGGCCATTTTTATCAGGAGACCTACCTCCTTAGAATCTCAGTTAAGAAATGAGCCACCCCTTTTTTTACAACAGGCAAACATCCTTTTATGACATTCACCTCCCTTATAAAGTATTTCCTTCACTCCTGAGCAGTGAGAAAAAGTTCCACATACCTTTGTGTGCTCCTGCAAACACTGCATGTTTTCTGTAGTGCAGGATCTACTTGAGCAATGGCCCTTTTGAAAAATAAAATAAATGCAATGCCATAAAGCAGTCCTCACTCTCCAGCCTCCCCAGTGCTCGGTGTCTAGAGATCAAGCAAGAACAGGAAAAGCAGCCAAACCCCAGATGTCCCATTTTGTGTTTCTCCTGGTGACTATTCAGGCCTGGCAGACTGGGGCTTTCAGGCTCTGACAAGTTATCTCCCTTTGTTTTAAGACCTCAGCTCTGCTGCTTTTCTTCCAGCCTAAGGTTTGCCTAAATTCACGCTCAGTGTGTGCTCCCCTGCCAGCCTGGTTCTCCTGCTGCTCCGAGGTGGTGTGGCTGTGCAGCTCCTGCTGATGGGAGTGATGCTCAGTTGTTGTCAGACTCAGCAGCCTGGGCTGGAGATCCCTCCTGCCTTTCCCCCTTCCATCCCTCAGCTTCCTGGCACCTCACCATGGTCCCCCAGGTTTCCTCAGCATCATTGCTTCTCCTTTCAGGCCTGTGTTCTTCTAATCATCCCATGGAAGCTCGAAGGTGTTCCTGTTCCAGCTGCTTTTGGGAGGAGGATGCTTTGGACTGAGCACGTTTCTTTATATACCCCTGGACATTTTTAAAGGAAGGAATGTGGGTAAGGTTCATCAATAACAAAGTTTTAAGCCATCTTACTCCTTTGGCCTTATTTGACATAATGTTTTCTCTTATTTTAGGTTGTATTTGTGATCTGAGAAATCACAGTGTTCTCATTGGCCTCTCTGGGGATTGTTCACCAATGCTTTCTTTTCTCTGCCAAACTTAAACATTTCTCCTGAGGAAACATTCAGTTTCTAAATCTGCATAATCCTGCCTTGGTAAGTTCATAAAAAAGTCTGGTTTAGCCTTACTTCTTTCAATGGCTGGGATTTTTTTGAGGAAAGTCAAGTCCTATATTTTTATAGGATACTGTATGTAACAGTAACAAATGTAACAAATTTTTAGTGGCAGGAAACAAAAAAAGTGTTATTGAAGTGCACAGAAGCACTGTAATTTAAATATTCATTCTCTGTTCATGACAACAGACTGCATGCTATATCTTTATTGCCGTTTACATGCCCCAACTACAGTCTCTCATTTGTTCACAATAATGAACATTTATGCTCAGACAATAGCTTGTTTAGGCCAAATATACGTCATTACACTTATTTGAAGTACTCTTGCTTTCTGGAAGTATAGGCTGATCTTTTCTTTCTCAGATTACATAATTTTATTCTACTTATGTATATTTTCCCTCCTTTTTTTTTAAATTCCTTTGGTCAATGGATGGACATTAAATTAGGGGTTGTAGACAGACTGGTGTGCATTAATTCCAATGGTGAAGTGATTAGCTCTTCAAGGTGGCATAAAATATGCTAAACCAAGTATACTTTTTTGTAATTGAATTTCAGAAAATATCATAGTCTTATTTAGCTACAGTTCAACAGCAAAATACACAGTACAAAGGTGATTTTCCCTCTAAAGTGGATACTTTTTCTATACTGGCATTCAATTTGATTAATGTTTACATTAGCAGCAATTTATTGGTCACTTGCTCAGCACAAGCTTTCCAAAGAGACATTATATATGTTAATGTGGTGCTACTTACATCCCCATAAAATATACACAGATTACAAATTGTAAAATATAGGACCAATTAACCCTGATCAGCAGATGTGTATACTGATGTGGTATATTGAGAAAATATGATTTTCAGCTCCATTTAGTCAGAATCAGCATGCTGACCATCATTATGAAGAATGCCTGAGTAAACTTTAAAACACATCAGCAGAGGCCTTATTCATATATTCAGCTTCATTTTTTTTCTAAATCTAAGATCTATGATAATGTGGTTTAAGTTTAAGGTCTATTCTGCACTGGATTTGAAACTTAAATAACAATCCAAGAATGGTTTGGGTTGGAAGGGACCATAAAGATCATTTTATTCCACCCCAGCCATGGGCAGGGCCAGCTCCCAGTGTCCCAGGAGCTCCCAGCCCCAATGTCCAAGCTGGCCTTGGGCACTGCCAGGGATCCAGGGGCAGCCCCAGCTGCTCTGGGCACCCTGTGCCAGGGCCTGCCCACCCTGCCAGGGAACAATTCCTGCCCAAGGTCTGACCTAAATCAATTAGATACCGTGTGAGTAAAGATACAGTGGTAAAACAATCCAAGGATGATATTCACACAGCCCCAAAAAAAACATTTCTGTATAGATGAAAACTTAAATCTCCCCCATTTTTATGCTTTGTTCTTAGATATTTTTATTGTGATGAGGAGATATGACAAGAAAGAAATCACAGCAGAGCTAAAATCAAGAAGGAAATACTTTAAAGCAATGAATGTGTTTAGAGATCATTATCTGTCTAGTACAATACAGCTTCCACTTCTGCTGAAGGAAATGCATCACAAAATCCCCCTCTTTATTGCAGGTTTGCACAGGTTTGTTCCCACCCAAGTGCACCATATGCCAGCGGGCAGCCACACTCAGGCTGATGAGAAGTGCTGGGAGACAACAACAGAGCTGAGAGATCTTCCTCACAGCCCATCATCAGAAAGGAACGTGTCACTCCTGTTTACTCCTAGGCAGTGCTGGGAAATGAATAGCATTAAACATTCAGCAACATTATTCCTTTTCTATGTCTGCATAAATTTTTAACTGTCATGCTGTCCAAAATAATTTGTATAAGTTTTAAAGTTGGGGAGTATATTTGATCATATTATGTCTTTGCTAGTCAGGCCAATAAATTTAATTTCAGAGCGCTGCTCTTAAAGTCTGAATTGGACTATTTTTGAATCAATTTGAAATTAAATTTTAAATTGGTGCCAGCTTCCTTCACATTGCAAGAGGCAAAGTTTTAGCTGGGTAAGAGGTACCCCAGAAACTCATGTTTGTTCTGTAAGAAGCAGCTTTGCCACCATGGAAATACTCACAGGCAGGGGTGTCTGCTTCTCCTGTCACCACTAGGCATGTGAGATACATCTGTGTAATGCATATATCTTTAATATAAAATATAGATCTCATTTTAAGTTGCTGTACTGATAAAATGCAATTTCCTGTATGTCTGTACAGTGAGTCCTACTCTCAGTGTTTCTTGGTCTCTTGGACCTACCCTCTGCCCAGCCTTCAATCTCCCTATTTCCACTGGTATTTCCTCTCCTTCAGCCTTGAAAACCTTTCAAACATTTGAGCAATATGTCATTTTTTCTCATCTGCTGTAGACAAGGTTCAGGTCATCTCTGCAGCCTGTTCACCTGCCAAAATTGCTTCCTCTGACTTGTGGGGGAGGCTCTGCCAGAGTGTAACAGTAATGAAAGGAGATTCAGGGACTTGAAGAGCTCTTCCCTGCCTAGTCAAATCCCTAAGCAGTTCAAATTTCATTAACCTCTAGTGATGTGATGTAGTATTCCAGGGCACCATGGCTGGCAGACAATGAGGGTGGGCCCTCCTGAGAGGTTTTGCTGTTAGAGACTGGGCTGAGGTAAGAGAAGAGGAACCTGACTTTCTTTGGTCAGGGGGAAAAACAAGGCAAACTGCTGAGTGGGTTTAGCAACTTTGCTACCAAAATCTCCTTCTAAACATTCCTGACTGTAGCACCCTCATTCTGATGAGTGCTTCACCTTCAGAAGAGCTTTAAGCTTCCAATGACATCTTTTCTTGTAAATAGACAAGAAACATACAGAGCTTGTGAAAACGTGCTGTATTGGACTCAAGATTTTAGAACTAAAATGGTTTTGCTTTTCCTGCTTGTGATAAGAACTCTGCACCACTAACTTAGGGTGCAAGTTACTATTTCTGTACAGGATGGGAATTCTCCCAGTCTAATCTTCTTGGGAACAAAATGTCTATAGGTACTTCAGTAATTCAGTTTGAATTCTGGATTTGATCCCCAACGTGGGGATTCTGCTCTAACCACAGATATGTCTCTGGAAACCAGTTGCAGTGATAGTATCATCTGCTGATTTTTGGCTGCTGACTTTATCACTTTTCAGGAGTGAAATTGTCATTCAGGAAGAATATGCAGCATGGATGTTAGATTAATCACATATTTGTTGCTAGAAAAAAAAACATAAGGGAATTTATGCCCTATATTCCAATGAATTAATTATGAAAATTTCTGCACTTGTTCACAGAAGAGAAAATCTTCCATATTGTGAAATGAAAAATCTTCCATTCAACCATATTGTGGAATTAACACTCTCTTTCCCTTCTTTTGTACTTGGCTATCAACAAAACCAAAAGTTTTTACATATGTGTGTTTTTTTCAGTTTAGAGAGTAAAAGGAGGGGCACCTTGTGGGTATTTTTTTCAGGAAAAAGGATATTATCCATTGTCCTGACTGAAAGAATAAATAGTATTCCTAGATTATGCAGCATACCTTTTGAGAGGAAAGAGATTGAATTTTCAGTCATGTCAATAATACAGCGGGCTTCTAAATTTATTGTCTTGTTGATTCTCATATGAATATGGAGCATCTACCTGCACTGAACACAGAACAGCTGTCTCAGATCACTGAAAATATATTGATTTCTTCAGCTGAAGAGTTTAAATGTGTTTTCCTCTAGTTGTAACCCAAATGAAAAAGTGTTTTGTGTTATGTCATCATGTAACACGTGCAGGAGTCGAGGCAAATACCAGGTACAAGTTCAAAGAGGTGCCTGTGATAGATAAATGAATACCCTGTGCTGGTGCTAACATTTAAATACAGGAATCTGCAATTGAAGAATATGAAAGCTGGCAATGAACACTGCTTTCTCTCAGTCACATCACTGCAGTGTTTGGGGCTTTTAAAGTGCCTTTTATTTCAGTTTTCCAAACTGTCATCATTCAAACACTTGTGAATTTCTCTGTCTCCTTTCTGTTTAAAATCACTGGTGATTGAATGTGCAAAAACAGCCAGGCAGCTCTTTCCAGTCCCTTTTTTGTGCATCCTGTTGGGGTAGGGCATGGTTTGGAAGATGCAGAAATTGGTGTAGAATTTAAACATTGGCACAAAGTAATGTTTTATGTTTATGTTTCTTTATATGCACATGTACACCTCTAGCTGTGTAAATGTACACCTTTACCTCATGCTCTGGCAGCCCTCTGAGTCCTTTGTCTGTTTTTCTTCCAATACAAGAAACCTGTTTGCACTCCTCATACCTCAGATCAGTTTGGAAGTGGTAGGAAATTAAAAAGGAGCCAGTAAATCTTAGGGAAGGAAGTGAAAAGTTGTATGTTGGAAACAAAGAGAAAGAACATCAATTGTATGGAGCAGAGGCAGTTTCAATTTTTCATTCTTCTGTCAGTTTTAAAAAGCCATGTGCTATCTAAGCATTAAAAACAGAAGAATGCTTATATTGTGCAGAAATGCTTGTTCTAGGTCTCAGATTCCAATTATTGCCTATAGTACATTGATAACTTAATTTAGTGCAATTTTTATAAGCCACCTGAGCTGCCTGCTGCACCTTGGATGGCTTCAATACTTGCTCTAATCCATGTGTGAGTTAGCGTTCCGTGAGGAATAGGGAGCCTTCCAATTTATTAACTGAAGTATCTTACATCTTTCTATGCTAGAAAAAATTTTATATTGACATATCCAGAGTTTTTATTGAAGTTATATTAGTGCTATCTATCAGGGATATGCTAGAAAATCTATAACTTCCACCAAAATGTTGCCCATGTGAGCAATTCGGTTTATGAAGTACAATCTTCCCAGGCTGGCTTAGTGCCTCCTGGTTCATTTTTCAAGCTATGTGATGTTTAATGAATTTGTCAAAATAAAAACTAATACACAGTTTCACGTCTATCATCAAATTATGCTTTGCAATATACGGCTAAGGGTATGAAAAAAGACACCTATATGAAGGTCTGAAAATGGAAAACATCTCAGGTCTGTGCTGTTCTATTTCTTGTTTTGACACTTTTTTACAGGCTCAGAGATGTTTTACTTGGGTTGCAATAGCACTGGGAGTTTGTCCAGATGAAGTAACGACACGGCTTCATTATGTGCAGCATGTAGATATTTGTCTGCAGTGCACCATCAACCCAGTCAATATATTTGCCAAAAAAAAAGAAAAGGGGAAAGGTTGAGAGGTCTTTATGACCTTGTTTAAAGCAATCCCAGATCCCATTTTCTAAACTACTACACAGATTTTCAGACTCATTTGTTTTCTCTTACATATTAAGTCAGAACCTTGTGGCAACTAAGAGGGTGACATTTTTAAAACAGCTTGACATGATGTCTGACCTGTTTGTACAACTGCATCACTTTCCCAGCACCTCCTGTTTCTTTAAACAAAGCTAAGAACAGTAAACCTTTAGGAATGTTAAAAATTATTTTTTTGTGTCCTGCTCTGCAGGCATGAGTAATACATGTGGTATTGGCTACTAGTTTTCATAATTGCTGGCAGCTGTCAATCATCATAAATCAGTCATTGCTGTGGCCTCTTAGGGATCTCACAGGTCACTGCAGAGAGCTCCACGTGTCTCAGCTTTGAAGGATTGTAGAGTCAGGTGGGAGTCAGCCTCTTCTCCCAGGCAACTAGACACAGGAAAAAAGGAAAATGGCCTCAAGCTGTGCCAGGGGAAATTCAGCTTGAATATTAGGAAAATGTTCTTTATTGAAGGAGTGGTTGAGCACTGGAATGGGCTGCCCAGGAAAGTGGTGCAGTCATCATCCCCAGAGGTGTTCAAGAAATGAGTAGACTTGGCACTTTGTGATGGTGTTTAGTGAAAGGTGGGATTTGTTGGCCTTGGAGGTCTTTTCCAACCATAATTATCCAGTGATTCTGTGCTTCCTGTGCCATCAGGTGTTGTGTGTGCACCCCTAAACCTGGGGACCAGGGCTGCAGAGCTCTGCTCTCACTGCAGCTGAGCCTCAGCTGGCACTCTCAGCCTTCCTACACACAAATGTTCAGGCATATTAATCTCATAAAGCATATTAAAAACTCACTGGTGGGGCAGTGCTGATTACAGAGTAAAGAAGCCAAACCTTACAGCAGAGATCAATTGTGGAGAAAACAGAACCATCAGAGGACATATTCCTGTATTTCAACAGGAGGAAACTCCCTCTTAGGTTTATCTTTTTAAACCCTGTACTGCCACAGCTACCAAGCTGAAGTGATGTGGCTTTGAATTTACTGCAGAGATAATGTTTTATATCCATTGATATAAATTTTGCTATTAATACCAGCACATGAATGGAACACATATGGATGTAGCCTTTAAAAACTTGTGCATGATACTGGGTGTGCAAAAATGCACCAGAAGGTAGGCAGAAGCTTAGGAATGGGTGTGATCATGTTGGAACAGGAATGTGAGGCAGGAGCTGTCTGATAGAGAATATCTCTGACAGAGACAGAGATCCCATTTGCTATGCAATCCAGCATCCACTGGTCAGGATAGTGCCAGTCCAGGGCTAGAGCCAGGACAGTCACACCGCTCCAGTCCTGTGCAGGTAGAATCCAGCAGCTTTCCTGATACTTTAGTGCTTTCCACTTCTTGTTCAGGAGATAATTCCTCTGGAACAGTCTGCAGAACCAATGCCACAATCACTGAATCAAGATATTGGATCTTGCAAAGAAGAGCAGAGGGCTTCTGAAATAAAACATGATGCTAGGGCTTTTCTGTGAGCTGTTGGTTTATTTTTTTGGGTTTTTTTTGGTAAGTTCTTGTGGTTTGTTTGGCTTTTTTCCAGTCAAAGCTGAAGTTCCTGTCAGAGAGAAAATGAAGACATTTAGAATCTGAAAAAGGCAGAGAAGTCCAGGTGAAACAATGACCATAGGCAGGTGGAACTCTG